TGGACCAATGCAGATGTGAACTATTCCACAATGTATAGCCTTCCAGCACTTAGGGCTTTTAGCCTTAGATGTATAGTCTTAGAGCACTGGGGCACTTAGAAGTTCAGTGATTTGTCTGATGCCCCCTATTTGTATCAGGGGGACTTGAATCCCTGCCTTATTGCCTTCAGAGGTTGACTACTCTGCTCTATCCTTCAGTTTGCAAATAACATTTAATTAATAAATGCTTGTTGAATTTGTTGAAGTTTGACCCTAGGCTTCAAGCTGATTCCTTTCTGTGTTGTAGGGCATCTTGGTCCCCCTGAAAAACCGGGGGTCCTATTCTAAAAACTACACAGCCTCATTAGGAGATAAGGTTTGATACCCCTGCATCCTGATTGGCAGAAGTCCCTAGGTCAAGACTCAACCAAGCAGTGGATTAACTAAGTGACATTGTCTTGTATGAAATGGGGAGACACCAACCTTGGGCCCTCATGATTGCAGGAGAGGGGTCAGCTAGGTTGTCAGGGCCAAGAGCAACCTGAGACACCAGGAAGTTGGGCCCCAAAGGTCTAAGGAGACAATGCCAGCCAGCCATGGCACCTGGAGCTTTTGTTCACACTTAGATTTTCCCAGGAGGCTGCAGCTGCACCCACATTGAACACCTGTGAATGAAAGGGGCTCCCACGGGATCCTGTTCTCTGGAAAGAGGGTGTGATTTAAACTCCTGTCCCTATGCCAGGCAATGAAACAGGATTGTGTTTCCCCAACAAGACTGTATAAACTTCCACAAGGCAGCACCTCACTGTGCCTAGCATTGTGTACTAAGGGCATGCTGGCACTAGAGGTTCAATATATAGGAAGATAAGACTATGTGTACAAATAAATAGCTGGGTGGTTTAGTAGATAGAGTACTGGACCTGCAGTCGAGAACGCCCCGAGTTCAAATTCAGCCTCAGATACCTACTGGCTGTGTGATCCTGGGCAAGTCACTTAACCTCTGTTTCCCTCAGTTTCTTCATCAATGGGGATAATAATAATAGCCCCTACCTCCCAGAGTTATAGTAAGGATTAAACACGATAATAATTGTAAAGTTCCTGGCATACTATAAATGTCATATAAAGTTAGCAATTATTAACAAATGCTTATCTCCTTCTTTCAAAGTAATCAATCACCTTGCTTTTACTCTAACGTTATTGCCATTGCTCAAAACATGTTAGGAACTCCTATTTTTGGAACCGCCTTCAGAGGCAATTTATCATCCACATGAGAAAAATCGTTACTATAGTCACACTTCATTTTGACCCAAAATATACTCAGCTTTATCACTTATCTTAAAGACCAGTTTGGCTTCAAATGCCTTCTGGCTTTCCCAAAAATCAAATCCACATTAAAAGGAATATTGGACACCACCAAGGGTATGTAAAATGTATATTGCTGGCTCTAAAGGTAATTTCAAAAAAGGAACTTCAAAATTATTTTGGGAAGTTGCCTTAGGTAACTTCTAAGATTCTTTGGCCCTGATCTAGTTCCATGTCCTGAAAGATGACTACCACGACATTATTATCAGTGAGAACACTCATTGGAGACTACTTTTGCAAAAAATAGAGAAAAACACAATCTCTGCCTTACAAGTCAGTGGTTGGATCTAAGCCAAGCCGAAGTACAAGGCCAGACAACTCAAGTAAGAGGGGCTGCCCTATTCAGATCATAGGCACTCCGGATAAGGACCGGATCTCTGATTTCACCAGTATTGGCACCTGTCTGGTAAGGAAAGTCCCTCCAATACAGGCCAGCACCATCTTGGCAATTTATAATGTCTGACAGTAGCCTAGATCATTGAAAAGTCATGTGACTTGTCCAGGGTCACTTGAGACACTATGTGTCAGAGTCAGGACTTGAACCCAAGTCTTCTTAGTACTGAGGCTAGCTGTGCCCACTGCCTCTTATTCAGGTCATATCTGGATTAGTGTGTTCAGTACTGGGTGTCACACTTTAGGGATCGAGGTGACAAAGCATTGGACTTGGAACCAGGAAAACCTGAGATCACATCCTGCTTCAGATACTTCCTAGCTGTGCGACCCTGGGTGACTCACTTAACCTCTGTCTGCCTCAGTTTCCTCGACTGTAAAATGGGAGTCATAACACCACCTACTCCACAGTATTGTTGTGAGGTTCAAATGAGACAGTATATGTAAAGTGCTTTGCAAATCCCTAAACAAATGCTGACTTCTTCTTCTTTCTTCTTCTTCTTCTTCTTCTTCTTCTTATTATTATTATTATTATTATTATTATTATTATTATTATTATCATATTAGGAAGAACATTGACAAGTTGTACCTCTTTAAGGTGATGGTGACTGAGGATAGGTAGGGAACTTAAAACCATCCAAATGAGAATCAATTGCAAGAATTGGAGCTTTTAAGCCTTTTGGTCAGGTCAGGGATAATACAGAAGAGATGGATTCCTGCTTGGGTATGGGTTGAATTAGATGATGTCTGAGATCCCTCATAGCTCTGGTGCTTTTGTGATATGGTTCCAGGAAGCCCTACCCATCAGTATTTATTAAGTAGTATCAATGTACAAGACCCTCTGCTAGGTGCAAGCATACATGGGATCACATATTTACAGCTAGAACTGATCTCAAGGAATTTACCACATAACGTATTATCCCATGAAAAATTAAATCACATAAAGAGTTAAATAAAAACAATACAATTGGAGAATTGTCACTGGGAGAATTTAAACTCCTTCCAGGCAGGGAATTTTTATACTTGTCTTTATGTCCCATGCCGGGTGCCTACCACAGTGCTTCCACATACTAGGCTCTTAATGAACATTTGTCACATTGTTGAACAAGGTGGTTCATACTTCCTGGAAAGCAGAGTGATACAGTCACTACAACACTGGACAGAGTTCAAATCTTGCTTTAGATACTTGCTAGTTATATAACCTCAGACAAGTCACATAGACTCCCTTTCCTCAGTTTCTTTATCTATAAATTGTAGATTATAACATGGAGATGATAAGTGCTATGAGTTCAGAAAAGGGAGAGTTTTGTGAAGTCAATGATGTATTGAGTCAGTAGCTGGTGCAGTGGATGGAGCACTAGGCCTGGAGTCAGGAAGATGGCCTGAGTTCAAATCCGGACCTAGATACTTACTAGCTGTGTGACCCTGGGCAAGTCACTTGACTCTGCTTGCCTCAGCTTCCTCATCTGTAAAATAAGATGGAGAAGGAAATGGCAAATCACACCAATATTATTGCCAAGAAAACCCCAAAAGGAGTTTGAACTAATAATAAGCAAGTTCTTAAAGGTTTGGTAAGATTTACGTAGAGAGGAGGCAAGGAGGACATTCCCAATGGGAAGAACCCCACAGAGACTGGAAAGCACTAGCTGTGATTGATTTGGGAATCTGGAGCAGATGTTCATTTAGAGGAGCAGTGGGAGCTATGCTGGGACCAGAATGTAGAAGGCCTTGAATGTCAAATTAAGAAGCCTGAACTCTCCCTGTCACCCTGAAGGCTTGAGACTTGAAGACAGCATGTCCAGAATCCACGCGGCACTGCCTCCATCCTGGCAATGACCAGAGGTACTCCCTGGGGCACAGTGACCCTGGGTCTCTGGGGCAGATCCCAACAGGCGCTGCCCTGGCAGTAGTATCCAGGCCCCAGCGCTGTGTTGTGGTTGACACGTTCTATGGTTTTCTTTCTTTGGTTCCACCCAGGGCTCCAGCCAATACCACAGCATCCCCCAAGGTCATGTCCCAGACATAACCCAATACAGGCCACACCTAGACTTTCCATAAGTGAACAGCCCTGTGGTGTTGGGCAAGGGAGGACTTTGATGGATCTGATAATAGGTCCTAGAAATTCCAAATCAAAGCTTATCCCAGATGGGGAAGGATGACGAGGAAATCTGCTGGAGGAAAGGGGACTAAGAGCTATTCTTCTGAGTTCCTGTTTCAGGCTGACCCCAGACACAGTCAAACGCCCATGCCTAGCAATGAGGAGAGACCTCCCTCTAGTGACTAGTTGTAATACAACACCGCGGGCTTCCTCTCTCTTTAACCTCCTTGGGGGGGGGAGGTGCACATCTATGTAGAGCAGTAGATCTCTTGGTCACTTTCTTAGCATAATTCCAAATTTCTTTCCAGCATATTAATATGCCTGTCTTTTCATAATCCCTCTAACATTGACTTTCCAGATGGGGAAATTTTCACTTCATTTTACTAAAATGTAATTATTGATATCTAGAAAAGTTGTGTGTAAATGGAATCATTTTTTAAAAAACACTTGGGAGAAAAAATACCAAGGGAGCTACATATGACAGAGAATTATGGTTAAAGTGTTTTTAAGTTTTATTGCTTTTTTCTTTTTAAGGAAAAAAAAAGACATTTACATGATGACTTCATTATATAATTAAAAGGAACAATAATTTGTACATATAGATCTGCAGTTTCACGTGCGATCATCTTTTTAATTACACTAAGTTATGGAAATACTTGTTTTATTCCATAAATTAAAAATAAATTAATAAATTAAAAGGGTAAGTTAAAAAAAATTAAGTTTTACTGCTGTTTTTCATCTTTGCATCCCAGTCATTTAAAATAGCCTTTTTTGAACCTTCCCTTGACAAAGGGATGGGGCAGAGGGTGCAAACAAATGCTTGTGTTAGGTGCTTAAGCATCTTCTATATGCCAGGAACTGTGCTAAGTCCTTTACAAATTACAATTTCAGCGTATAATTACAAATGATTACAAATTACAATTACAATATAACAACAACATGATAATGGCGAATATTTATGTATTAGCTTATTATGTGTCAGGCACTGTGCTAAGCATTTTACAATTCCTATCTTATTTGATTCTCATAACAATCCCCAGAGGTAGGTGTATTATCTCCATTTTACAGATGGGGAAACTGAGGCAAAAGAGGTGAAAGCGACTTGCCCAGAGTCACACAGCTACTGAGTGTCTGAGACTGGATTGTGAATTCAGGTCTTCCTGACTTCAGGCCTGGTGCTCCATCCACCGCAACACCTAGCTGCCAATGAAGCAAAAGCAGCCAATAAAGTGACTATTTTGACATTGTATATAATATTCTATCCAAATAAGTCCTTCAACTTTCTGCCATGAAAGGGGAAGAATGTTTCATTGTCTGTTCTCAGAGCTCTTTATTGATTTTCCACTTACTCACATTTCCTGCCCTTTTAGTGATCTTTTCATTGACACTGTTGTCTTTGGGTACACTATTCTCTCAGTTCCATTTTTTTCCCCACTGTGGATTAGTTCAAACAAATCTTCCCATATTTATTTGAATTTTTATGTTTGTTATTTCTCACTGTACAATATTCCATTATATTCATAAGAAAAGGAAAATCGTACAACGTGGAAGAATGCTTGATTTAGAGGCAAGAGGATCTGTGTTCAAACTCCGAGTCTGCCATTTACTATTTGTATGAACTTGGGCAAGTCATTAGATTCCTCATTTGCCAGATGAGGTGGTTGAATGAGATAACATCAAAGGTCCCTTCCATTTCTAAATCTACCACCCTATATACATGGTTTCTAGTTCTTTGCCATCACAAAAAGTACAGCTTTGAATATTTTGGTATATATCAGATCTTTGTTTCAGTCTGTGACTTGGTATCTAAGATATGGACAGTTAAGTCCAGTGTTTTTGTATAATTCTAAATCGATATCCAGAATGACCAGACAACATCATAATTCCATTAACTATGCATCAGTTGCCAGTTTTCCCACAGTCCTTACAACAGTGAGTCTTCCTGTCTTTTGTCATCTTTGCTAATTTACATGGATTGAGGTGATCTCTCAGAATTGTTTTCATTTACATTTCCCTTATTCTTTAAAGCATGTTTTCATGTGGTAATTCATAGTTTGTAGCATTTCTTTTTTTTTTCCAGCCAGAGACAAGGTTTATTAAAGATCTGATATACTAACCAGACTCTTAAGGAATCTGAACATTTGTGAGCTATTGGCTAGATTGTATAAATCTGAGCCCTTGGTTAGGTTCTTAAGGAATCTGGGCCAATAGAGACATATTTCCCCTAGGTCTATTCATTCATTTATTTAGTGAGGCAGTTGGGGTTAAGTGACTTGCCCAGGGTCATACAGGTTAGTGTCTGAGGTCCTCCTGACTCCACCACCTAGCTGCCCCATTTGTAACAATTCTTTTGAAAACTATTCATATCCTTTGACTACTTATCTATTGGAGAATGGTCTTTAGTGCTATATATTTATGTCAATTCACTATTATATTTTGGATATCAGACTTTTATTGGTGATATTTGGTGCAAATGTTTTCCGCATTCTAACATTTATCTTCTAATTCTATCTTCATTGATTTTATTCATGCAAAAGCTTTTTAAAATTTCATGCAGTCAAAACTTTCCATTTTATTTTTTATTACATTCGCTACCCTTTATTTACTGAAGAATTCTTCCTGTAGCCCTGACTGTGGCTTGCCAGTTCTGGAAGGCAGTTGAAACCACATCCAGGATGAGCTCTGTCAACATCTGGGGAGGAAGCCATCTGTGGAGGAAGAGCCCAGCTGTTGAGAGGGGACTGTTCTTTACTGTTTCCCTTCTATTTCTACCACTGGGTGGCAGGGGTGGAAGGGATTTCTCCCTCTCCCTACCACCAAAAAGCCATGGTACTTTGCAGCAGAGCTAATTCCAGTAGAAGGCACTGAAGCCAACAGAGGACAGACCTGGAATAAAGGGTCAGAGCAGGAGATGAGAGTCAGCTTTAGATTCAAGAGAGAAGGAGCTCTGTAGATAGGAGCCGAGCTGAGTAGTCGGAGGAGTAGGTCCAGGGGGCCCAGCTGAACAATCTGCCCAGCAGAGGTACTGTGCCTGGCAGAGAGCAATGCCAGGATACCCTAGGAAGAGATAGAGCATCAGGACCCTGCAATGCCAAAGCCTTACCTTGATCTTGTGCATACCTCTCTCTAGCACTGTACTCTATGTACGCACCCACCCTTCCCACTGACTCTCTGTGTCTATGTCAAAGGTCACATCACAGGTTTAAGGGGGGATGTCTTGCAGCTACTGTTCTCACTATACTGTCTCAATAAATGCCTTTGCTCTGACCTAATTGTGTCTATACAGGGGTATAGGTCCTCTAGGACCTCTAGGTCCTCAAGTGTGGCCCTTTGTCCAAATCCAAAGGGCCATACTTGAGGACCTACCCAGAGGGCCATGTGGGGCCTCGAGGCCACAGGTTCCCCACCTCCGGTAGAAGACTGTTAAAGGAAAGCACTCCAGTTGGGGCTTATTAGCTGTAGGAGGCTTATTAACTGTTTTAGGAGTGAGGACCTACAAGGCACCTCAGACCTGTAGATAGTAGTAGCCCCCTCAGCAGGTTGATGAGGGGTAGAATACTCTGAAAAGGGGTACCCGTATCTAAATGGAGCTTCTAAAAAATGAGAGTAAACCTATTAGACAACTAGGTGGTGCAGTGGATAGGGAGCTGGGCCTGGAGTCAGTAACACCTCAGTTCAAATCTCACCTCAGACACCTACAGTCTGTGTGACCTTGGGCAAGTTATTCAACCTCTGTGTGCCTCAGTAACCCCATCTGTAAAATTTCTATTTGGTCCTGAAGATAATGATAATTATAACACCTACCTCCCAAGCTGTTGTGAGGATCAAACGCGATAATCATTGTAAAGGGTTTAGCACAGTGCCCTGCACAGAGTAAGCATAATATACAAGTTAACTGTTAATACTAATTTAGTGAATATCTACTGAACTAGGTATTGTATTATATTTGTACTTGAATGGATTGGCTCTCCTCACCTCACATGCCACGTTCCGTCAATAACGGGAACCTAGATTTCTCAAGAATACAGCACTGTTCTGGCCTTTTCTGCAGTACGTCGAGGTTCTTTTCTCACGCCCTTGACGTTTTCGGCCAAGGAGAGCAGTAGGCATGCTTCCTTGCGTCTCGTTGCCACTTCTAGACTATACCCTTGCTACCATTTACTCAGCAATCAGTCTTCCTTTAAATGTAGGGAGATAGCTTTATCTGCTGGCCAAAAAAGTACTCCCATAGCAACCATGATTTACTGCTGACAGATATGCATAATAAAGGCAGGGATATGGGCTAGGTGGGTTGAGGACACAACCTTGGCTCCTCAGATTGGTGTCCCTGCCATGAGTCTCGTCCTACTGCAGTCTATCCTTCTCTCAGCTGCCAAATCAATATTCCCGAAGGGCAGCTCCGATGGTGCAAGACCCCAACCCCCCATGTCACCTCCCTTACTCATGAAACTCCACTGGTTCCCTATTACCTTCAAGATCAAATATAAACTCTTCAGTTTGGCATTTAAAGCCCTTGGAGCTTCCTTTCTTCCTAGTTTTCTCATACTTTATTTCCGTCCGTGTATTTCAAGATTTAGCAACACCTGCCTTCCTGTTGTCCCTTGCCCAGGCCATTCCATCTGCGGACTCTGTCTTTGCCCTAGTTGTCCCCCATGCCTGGAATCTCTCCATCCTCATCTCTACCTACTCCTAGTTTTCCTGGCTTCATTCAAAACCCAGCTCCGATTCTATCTATTGCATGAAGCTTTTCCTGCTCCCCTGACTGTTGGTAGCTTCCCTCCGAGATCTACCATCTACTCGGCATCTATCTTGTATGTACCTAGTTATTCACACGTCTCTCCATTAAAATGTATGCTCTTTGAGGGTAGGGACTGTATTTTTTGTTTTTCTTTGTATACCTAGCATTTAACACAGTACCTGTTGTTTCACTTGTTTTTAAGTTATATCTGACTCTTTTGGGGGAGGGTTTTCTTGGCAAAGATACTAGAGTGGTTTGCCATTTCTTTCTCCAGCTCATTTTATGGATGAGGAAACTGAGGCAAACAGGGCAAAGTGACTTGCCCAGGGTCACATAGCTAGTAAGCGTCTGAGGCTGGATTTAAATTTGGGTTCTCCTGACTCTATGCCAAACACTCTATCCCCTAGCTGCCCTAGCACTTGGTAGCGCCTGGCACATAGCAAATGTTTGTTGACCGACTGGCTGGGCCCCACTTTCCACCGCCTTAGACCCTTACTTTTGCTTTCTCACTCCAGGGACAACAATGTTCACTTATGTGGCACCTTCTCTGGGCCATTTTCTATCAGACCCCACTCACCCTGGCTGGCTAGGCTCCAGGCTTTGAGTCACTGTTTGCAGTTATTAGAGAATTATCACTCCTTCTTTTGGGGAATCTTGAGCTCTACAAATAATATTTATACTAGTCAAGGTTTCCTTTGATTTATTCATATCTCCAGCTTTGCTTCCTGAATCAAGGCTTTGGTCCAGGGCCAAACTCCACACTCCCGCTGCACTTTTGGGAGGGATGGTTGCAGGGATGTGATGGAGCCAGAAAAAAACAACTGTTAAATTTTCAGTGTGAGCATTTGCACCTGAGAAATCAGTAAAAGCTACAAATCCCGGCTTGACTTATTATTCTGTTTCTTTCCTAGACTTAAGAAAGCAATGGAGTAAATACTAATACTGTAGATTAAGCTTAAAAGTGTGTCATGGTTTTGGATAGCTAGGTGTTAAATATTTACCAGCAAACCCATGCGTGGTTGGCTATGCCTGATTTTATCCGGTTCCCTGGATTCCTGCACTGACCATCTCTTGTGGTTTAGACCCCCATCGATCTTTGAGGTTAAGAGAGCTGGACCTTCTGTGGTATATCAGGACAGAATGCTAGAGATGTTAGAGCCCCTGGGGGCTGCTTCCTCGGGCTTCCATGGTGTCTGCCCTGCAGTGTTCTGACTGCTCTAGAGTTTTCCAAGTAATCTGGGTCATTCTTCCAATCCTTCTACACGTGATGCCTTCAGACCAAACCTTGCTGGCTCCACATGTCTCTGGCTGGTCATACCAGAAGGCTGGGTTTGTTTGCCTATGCTGGTGCTGACTTGTCTGACCCTCACCTGCCCTACCACCCATGGGCTTTTTTGTGTAGTTCTGGTGTGGAATAAGCCACCTATTGTAATTTCTCATTGGAATTCTTGATCATTATTCGGCCTGGTATGAATTTCAGGTTTTTGCTAGAAAAGGTATATGGGAGCTGCATAGCCTGCTTGTATGGTCTACAGCCATCCTGCCCAGAAGTTGTTGTTGTTGTTGTTTTTAACAGTTATTTACATATGTATTTAATTTTTTAAAAGTTAGTTAATTTATTTTTAGTTTTCAACATTCACTTCCACAAGACTTTGAGTTCCAAATTTTCTACCCATCTCATCCCTCCCCCTACCCCAGGACAGCATGCATTCTGAGTACCCCTTCTTCTAATCTGCCCTCCTTTCTCCTTCCCCCCCCCTTCTCTTATCCCCTTCCCCTCCTATTTTCCTGTAGGGCAGGATAGATTTCTATACCCCATTACCTGTATATCTTACTTCCCAGTTGCACATGAAAACAATTTTAAACATTTGTTTTTAAAACTTTGGGTTCCAAATTTTCTCCCTTCCTCCCTCCCCACCCACCCTCATTGAGAAGGCAAGCAACTAGATCCAGGTTATACATGTGTAGTCATGGAAAACACTTCCACAGTAGTCATGGTATGAAAAACTAACTATATTTCCCTTCATCCTATCCCACCCTCTGTTTATTCTATTTTCTCTTTTGACCCTCTCCCTCCTCAGAAATGTTTGCTTCTGATTACCCTCTCCCCCAGTCTGCCCTTCCCTCTATCATCCCCCTGTTCTCTTAACCCCTTCCCCCCCTATTTTCCTGTAGGGTAAGATAGATTTCCATACCCAATTGAGTGTGTATATTATTCCCTCTTTAAGCCAAATCCAATGAGAATAAGATTCATTCATTCCCTTTCACCTTCCCCTACTTCCCCTCCACTGTAAAAGCCTTTTCCTGTCTGTTTTATGTGAGATAATTTAGGGGCAGCTAGGTGGTGCAGTAGATAGAGCACCAGCCCTGAAGTCAGGAGGACCTGAGTTCAAACCTGGCCTCAGACCAAACACTTGACACTTACCAACTGTGTGACCCTGGGCAAGTCACTTAACTCCGATTACCTAAAAATAAAATAAATAAAAAAAGAAGAGATTCTACCTCTCCTTTTCTCCTTCTTCCAGTATAATCCTCTATCACCCCTTAATTTTATTCTCCAGATATCACCCCTTCTATCACCCCATCTATCTATCTATCTATCCGTATAATTTTTTTCCCTCCAACTACCTAATACTGACAAAACTCGCATGAATTACAAATATCATCTTTCCATGTAAGAATGTAAACAGTTCAACCTTAATAAGTCCCTTATGATTTCTCTTTCCAGTTTACCTCTTCATGCTTCTCTTGAGTCTTGTATTTGAAAGTCAAATTTTCTATTCAGCTCTGGTCTTTTCATCAAGAATGTTTGAAAGTCCCCTATTTCACTGAATTACCATTTTTTTCCCAGAAGGGGGGTTTTGCTGGGTAGATGATTCTTTGCTGTAATCCTATCTCCTTTGCCCTCCAGAATATTATATTCCAAGCCCTCAGGTCCTTTACTTGGCCAGAAGTCTTGATTACTTTTCAAGGAACAGAAAAGTTAAAGGTGGTTTTCATGAGCTGTCATCAAGTGCACTCCCTCAATATTGATTAACTGGTTGATATCTCCCCAATACCTTGATCACTTAATAACTTTTACAAAATAATATTTACAATATTCTTTTATATGTAAATATGATATTTACAACAAAGATAGAAGTACAAAAATGCTCTCCCATATGGAGAGACACACCTTCCCTTTTGTACCCACTTAGTCTTTGGGGAAGGTGGATTCAATCTTAAAGTGACTGATACAAAATATTCCAATTGAAGGTTTAATATGAATGTATATTTAGAGCCTATATCAAATTGCACACTGGCTTGGGGTCAGGGGAGGGAAGAGGTGAGGAGAAAATTTGGAACTCAAAATCTTATGGAAGTGAATGTTGAAAACTAAAAATAAATAAATTAATTAATTAAAAATATTCCAATTGAATGACTCTGGGGAAGATGACAGAGTAAGTAGTAAATTGCCATAACTCTCTCATATTCACCTCTAAACCACCATAAAATGACACCCCAAAACAAATCCTGGAAGAGCAGAACCAGCAAAAAGATGAAGTGAAACAATCTTTTAGCCCAAGAAACTTGGAAGATTGGTAGGAAAGGTCTGTTTCACTCAGGTAAAAGGGGAGTGCAGCCCAGGACAGAAAGCATCCCAGCAAGCCCCATCTCAGCAAACCATTGGGAGATCCTGATCCCTAGTATGATGGAGCAGGCAACTGACAACATCAGGACCCTTCCATGTACCTCAGCATAGCCAGGGAATGGACAGACTCCAGCTCCACCACATGCTTCAGCACAGCCCTGAGCAAACAGGCAGCCTCCAGTGGCCAGAACTCCATGTATTTCAGTGTTGCCCCAGGCAAACAGGTAGACACTCGAATCCTATGGGTTACTAAGCAAATAGGGAGCTGCCAGCACTGGCCCCTGCCATGTGCTTTGGTGTAGCCCTAGGAAAACAGGCAGATACCAATACAAAAATACCCCAGAGGCACACATCAGACACCAGCACTAAGACCCCAGCTCAGCACTAGGTAAGCTGCCAGACCCCTATGGCTTCCAGCAGCACCAGTCACCTCCCATCCTACCCCCTCAGTATAGCACCAGACATGA